TTAAGTAAAGAGATCGAAATGAAGGGAAAAACAAATATAAATGAATATAAAAATATAGCCAATAATAATAGGCTAATAATGATAATAATATACAAATATTACAGGGAAAAGATGATCAGTTAATGCATTTACAAGACTGTGGGATAGATAAAAATGTTTTCTTGCAGGCCTATTTTATTTTATGCACTTTATGTAACATTTATTCATGATAAACTTCATCTGAATGCTGACTATTGCACGTAACCGCCTACAGTCCGTTAGCCAAGGCCTATGGTTAATATAATAATTTAATAATGTAATAATTTGTATAATAATTAATATAATGATTTCTTAATTCTAAATAAAATATTAATGAATCCATCTCTGATAATCCCGGGTTGCTATGGTCACGCAGGTTTGTTTACGCATTAAACTCGTATCATAATATCACGTTCCCACAAGTTAATATGACGTTCCCACTAATTAATATCTAAGTGAACCGAACATGTCACCTCCCGGTCACCGCATACTTCTGATAAATATTGCCCTTTAATGGAAAAGATCATTTATGACCCGTGCGCACGTGCTGTAAAATATGCATGGCTCGCTTCTTAAAGATGAATAAATTCAAATTCAGAGTTGTCTTTAAATCATAGTACTTTTGGAAACTCAAGTAAAAAATACCTGGTTTACTGAATTAATATTTAAACAGGCAACAGATATGGAAAGTAGCTAAAGCCAGCTTGAAAAGTCGCTAAATGTCGCTAGATGACGTCATGCGCTAATTAGCATATTCATGACGTCATTGCGCCGTATTGCCTTTTACATTTGTTTGCCTCTCTGTGCACAGACTGTATTTTAATGCAGCCAAATTCTCAATAAAACTGTTTTCATTTACATATTTTACTGTTTCTGTTGTCAGACAACGGGATGAATATGAAATACTGAAATGCGGCCCTTTAAGACTACCCAGCTCTCCCTTTCAAGATGTTAATGTGCACAAAAATCCTGATTTATAATCGAGTCATCGTCTGATGAAATCAAATACACATAACATAAGACATGAAAAAGGCAATACCTCCCACATGAAAAAAAAATATATAGTAATTTATAGTAAATACTATAGTGTTTTTGAACCATACTATAGTAAAGTGTATTATACTGTATATATTATAGTATTTACAACACTTTAATGAATGCTACAGCATACTGTAGTATTAACTATAGAGAACGGATAAACTGTAATAAATACTGTAGTACACTTTAGTTTTTAAAGTTAGTTTTTAGAGGTAACAAAACTTACAGTGCTGTTAGGAAAACTAAACCTGCTTGAACCTCCATGATCTGACAGATAGATGAATATTGTGTCCTTCCCTCCACTGTGTGACACAAAAAAGATAACATTTATATCGGTCATTATCATTTTAAATGAAACAATATCATCATCTTCCGTCCTTATCCTTATTTGTATCAGAACTGTAACTGACTAATGAGACAAACCTTGTAATGACTTTTGGCTTGGTCTTTTTCACAGCAGAGCTGTCTCCTCTGAGAGCAGCCAGGAAGTTTCCAGGTGTTACATCCTGTAAGACAGTCAGAATTGTGCTCAGATATAGGATGAAAACGTCTGTTTCGTGTTTGACACAAGGAACATTACCTCTCCAGTGTAGTCTTTTGGAACCCCTGGATACACATTCGGTCCGTTTGGTTTATTAATTATGCTTCCAGGATAAGGGTTTCTGTAAAGGAAGATAAAACATTATGTGGGGCATTGTGTGGCAAAACACTATTATGTCCCATCATACGTGTGATAAAACATTGGATATAATATTAATTAGGGAGGATTTTAATGGTACAGCATGACAGTAAAGATCTATGTGAACGCTGTGTTAAATCTGCTACAAATGTACATCAGCCACGTGTCACATGACTTTCAAAATCTGCAGGAAGTCTCTTACTTCTTATTATAAGCAATGTCATCATACATCATCACCACGATCTGCTCGTCAGGAATCCCGTTCTGATGTACTATCTGATAGGCGTGACACACATCAGCCTGAAATGGAGACTTTTCTTTACAAACTGTAGCATCATGGAGCAAGGTGCTAGAAACACTGTAAGATCAATGGCTTGATTCACAGAGAAGGCACATACTCACAAGAAAAATAAACAGAATGTCAAAAAATACTGTCACTGTAGGCCACATACCTGGTGCCTGTAATTGTTCCATGTCTTTGAACCAGCCACAAGCATTACCCACTGTTTTCCATTTGCTCCACCCATTTCAAGAGCAAAGTCTAATTCAGTTAGAAAACAGTGTGTTATTGTAATGCTCCAGTTGTAATAACAATTGAAATGGTAATATTAATATAGTAATATTCATGTAATGCAAAGTACAGGTTTGTTATAAAAATACCCAAACTCAATCTACTTTACTCCTGATGCACAGTGATCCTGGTATCTGGGAGGAGGGAAAACACGTGTTTTACAATCACCTCATTTCATCTTTATCCTGTAGGGGGTTTCCATGCCATGCAAAAAGAAAGTGAAACTAGACAAGTCAAAAGCACAGACACGGCTGTTCGGGATGTTCTGACGACAAAATTAAAAGAGTAACTCTTTATTCCTGAATAGAGGCAGGTGTTAAAAGACATTTGGTCTTTAAAAAATAAAAAATTAAAATACTCAAATGCTCAAAATATACTCAACTTTACGTTAGCGTATTTCTTAGCTTATTTCCTCATCTCCACGATAAATCATCTTGATGAATCTTCATGAAAGCTTTTTTTTTTTTTTGTGGCATGGTCGTGTACTGTGATTTGTTGCACTGTGGTCCATTTAGACCTCAACTACTTTTTACATGCGCGGTGCGTACGGATAACGGATCATCTACAGTCTGCTGAACCACTACCAAACACACCACAAAAAGATCAACTGTGCATCAGGGTCGTAGATCTGTTTACCTGAATATACACTCTTAAAAATGCTGAGTTGTTTTTAGGGTAAAATATGGACAGAGCCAACTGTTGGGTATAAATTAAACTAGGCTCGATTATTATTACACAATAGTGTGTTGAAACAAACCATCATTTTGGGTTGGAAACAACTCCATTTTTTAGATTGTAAATGTTCAATGAATTTAAATACAACAATGAAACGAGTGCAAATATAACAAAGAAAGCACCCCAACCAACAGGAAAAATAGATAAAAACTTACCGGTGGTTTTGGCACCCCTCCTTTTGGTCTACAGGCAGAGATTTCTTAGGACAAGCCCCAAACTGTTAGAGATGATGATAGAATGAAGACACAGGCTGTTCTTCACTAAAAGAATGTTCAGGAAGGAAAGCGAAACTATGCAAACAGGAATAAGGTGCTAGATAAAAGAAAGTGAAACCATTCAAATCGTGGTAGGCGTGGTAGTTTTTAATCATTTTCATCACGTGCAACAAGGCGCAACATCAGGACCAATGAATACATTGGCCGTGAGGCCCGTGACTTTCTCTTTTGATTTGGCCCGCTTCTTTATTTTAATTTATTTCTAATGATCTATTATTACTTTACAGTATTACTGTCCGCCGATGCACACTAGTGTTGTCGGACCTGTAGATTGTTTGCATTGTTCCGAAACAGGGAATTTGTTACAATGTTACATTTTCTTCTTGGTTCGGTTCGCTTTCACAAGGCAACATTGAAAAACGTACCAAACTGTGTTTATGCAAGTCATGTGAGTAAAGCTGTCCTCTTATTGGTCAGAGTTCACCTGTTTACGCTCCTCTGCGTCATTCATCAAGATGGATTAGGCTTGTTCCAGATGAACTACACTGGCCTGCCACCGGCTGGCGAGATCTGCCGCTTGCAGTCGGGGACGGAATTAAAAGCGGAGACATCAAGTCGGACACTGTCTGCTCCCGGAGTCCCGGTAGTGACGCTCTCACGGTGTTTATCACAGATGAAGCGATTTAAATGCCAAATAGACGTTTCAGAAATGTTTTCATGAGCAACAGAAACACTTTTCATATACTGCTTAATACAGCGCCATATGTTCAAGAATAAAGTTCAACATAAATATATACTATTTAAATACC